ATTTAAACTTGGAATTGAGCGTTTGGCTGCATTGCTTGATGTTTGCTGTCTCGATGCGGATATGACCTGTGCTGAGTATCTGCAATTCATGTGATTATAATATTATGATTATATTGTTAGGATTATTACAAAACGCATCAGATTGCCCACTCGTGCAATCTGACGTAAGCATTATGTACAAGCTTGCCACGTAGTCTTGAAATGCCTTCTTGTTCATGTGTATTCATGGGTGAAGGCATTATTTTCATGCTTGCACGCAAGTTGCGTACACATGCACCAGGCGCTGACAGCGCTTGAGGAAGTAGCAATCAATGCGCTAGAATTGACGGACAGCGGCCGCTGTGCCGCTGCGTCATGACCGTATGCGAGACAGAGATGAATGCGGTGCTGAGGGCTACGGAAGAGATGTCAAACTGACAACTATGTGTGATATGGTTGCGCTGGTGCAAATGAAATGCGCATGGATGCAGGCAGACATGGGCGCCCGCATGTTTGGCATATACTGGCACAGATATATGAATGTGAATGCAGTGGCGGAAATGTACTTAGCGAGTCTGAAGTTGTGAGGTACTTCGACGCCACGACTTCTCCACGATGTTGCCGCGTGAGAGATGGGAACAAGCACTTAAATATCAGTTTAACATCTGGGCACTAATCATTGTCATTGCTTCTGTAGCCGGAATGTCGCCACATTTCGTTGTAATTTATATAAACATTGCGGTATAATATTCAACCCGTCCGCATCAGAAGTTTAACCGTTGCACTTTTGTTCCGATTATTTTTTGCTTCACAGCGTTATTTTTGCGTTGCTCCGCAGAAAAGAGCCAAACGTTGCGTTGCTGTCTATGGAATCTCCTCAGCAAAAGTTGGGCAAGCGTTGCGTTATTGTGCCGAAGGGTTTATTAAAGTGCGGCATGCGCAAAACACGTGTAATGAATTGCGATGCACAAAATGACGCAGTGCGTCTCGTCAAGTGCGCCCTGCGGAGCCCAGCCTACCGCATCTCTGCATCCAGCGATACGGTCTTGCCGTGGCCGTTGGCCTGGTATTGTGTCACGCGCCACTGAGGCAAGCCGTTGTGCCCCAGCCGCGCAGCCAAAGTGGCTTGTGAGCCCGACCCCCACGGCGAGAGGGCGTTCATGGCGATGCGCTCAGCCGGTCAAGTTAGCGATTGGACTTTGATGGGATCGGCGCTCCTCCATTGGGAAATGGCGTCCCGGGCGCACACAAAAGGTGCAAAATGGGACGGCGATCGTCGCTCAAGTCAGCCCTCTATGAGCGTGGAACCCAACGCTGTTAAACTGCCATGAATTGGGCTCAGCGTTGAGGGTCAGGAAATATCGCGATCCCTTCTCTGCCGATAGGCAGGGACGCCTTTTGGACAAACGCCAGCTTCGACTAGCGTCGTCTGGGACAGAAACACGCAGCGTGAAGAAGCTGGGCCACACGGGGAAGGATCTGCAGGCGAACTGCTTAGCAAGCTTACAAAGGGGGCTATATGCCCAGCTGCTCGCTTCCTGGGAACTGATTTGCTTGGAAGTGATGGCTCAAGCCTTCACCCTGTTGAGGCGGCCGCACGTCATTGTTAGCATGCAAGGCCGCGTACTGGACAAGGAAACAGCTAAGCTTTCTGGATAGCCAAGTCGGTTTCTTGTCCACTACTTCCGCTTGTCGCCTCCCGTTCCTCGCACAAGCTCGATAGCTTTGCAGCGATGGGGTTGTGTTGGTGCGATTGGCACGTGTTTCTGTCTATCGGCAAAGAATTCTGTCCCAAGACTTTCCAAAGCAATTTCGGAGGGGAATGTGCGTACGCCTGGCTGGCAACGGTCGATAGCTCGCCTTTTTCATGACGTCAGCCGCCTTGCTGAGGTCACGAACGCCGCGCCCTGATTTTTAGAGGCCACGCCTGGCCGCCATGGCTGCCCAGTGCTGCATCATGCAAGGGCGTCCAAGACGTAATCTTGTTCGGGATGGGTCAGGCGATGTCCGATAGTCAAGGCACCTGCGTTTGCGCGCTGCTGTGACGGCGATTGCGCTGTGCGGGGCCGGGCTGACGGAGCGCCTGGCCTCAGCGACTTAGGACCGTGGCCTGAGGCGCCAGCGTGGGCAGGCCATAGGCATATATTCACTATAAAAAAGGGACCAAATAACATTTTGACGAGCACGTATATGCATTTCATTAATGTTCTGCATGGTAAAACTCGAAAACAGCACAAACCCCTAAATTTCGTACACGTTTGAATACGTATCATTTGGTCATTTTTTTCCTATTGACCGTCAGTATCGCTGGATGCAGAGATGTGGCAGCCTGGGTTCCGCAGGTCGCATGTAACGGGACGCTGGCACAATGGCACAATGGTTACGCCGTAACCCTAAAAGTGTGTTTGGTCCCTGGTGCTGTTTCAGTCTGGAATCGAGAAGGTGGCTCGTTGGAGCCGTGGGAATCGGACTCTGAGGCAGAGGTCCCGGAGAGCGAGATCTATGAGCGTCTGCAGCAAGGAGAGCCCATCAAAGACGTCTGGAGGGAAGTGAGGGATCGCTCGACCCAGCTGATCGACAGAATCGAAGCGCAGATGGAGAGGTGGCGCGGAAAAGGAGTGACAGAAATGCTGATAGACAGGATCATGTACGAGGGGGATGAGGCGCCAGGCAAGGCCAGCTCCAAGAGAGGAAAATAGAAGAGGGCGGGCCAGGGTCAAGGATGCTTTGATGAAGTTAGTCATCCGGGTGCTTTCATTCGCTGCCAGGAGTCCGGATGTAGGCAGAATAGGACGAAGATGTTGTATAGATGCCAAAAACACATGAAGAAAGGTGAAGGTACATCTTCCATTGAAATTAGTTTCCACAGCCACTGGAGGAAATGGCACCAAAAAGAAAGGCTAAGAAGATGTGAATTGGTCCCTTTCAAATGCGGTTTGACTCTCAAGCACATGATGTGGTATCACAATGTAACGCAATTTGTAACAAAATTTGAATGCCGTTATGAACCCCGTGAGCGAGGCAATATATTACCAGTGCGCAACGAATTAGAATCTTTTGTGCAGAGTGGGGCAAAGAAATTGCACTGCACCGTCTCCGGAACGTCTGCATCTATTGCATAGCAAACAATGGCGTGGCATCTGTCCTAAGAAGTTTACCTCTCCGCACTTGCCGCCGCCAGATGCACAACCCCCACGCCTGAAGGTAAGAAGCGGTGGCAGAATGTCTGGAGCGCAGTCCGCACATGGCAATGCACGCTCGAGTGCCGGGCGCACATCATCCTCACCGACAGAAAACAATACTTTCGCGATACCAGTTGCAATACGAAACTGACTATGAATGGCAGCATCGCAGTGACTGTGGTGTCACTAAAGCAGCTGTGATGGCATCCATTTGTGCCAAATGGCATCGCAGCAGGCATTGCAAGCGCGCTTGCAACGCGCGCTGCTTCCTGCTGGTGCCTCAGGAGCTCACATACGCTGAGGGCGCACTCCGTTGTCAATAACTTCAGTTCCAATAACACTGACAGTCTCAATTTGAGACAGTGCGCAGAACCGTCATCTTCATTTTTTATAGAACAAGGCAATGAGGTAGCCGTCAACTTCCTATTTTGCCTGAGCCGAGCAGTGTCTATGATCAGTTCATTGGAAACTAATGTAAACACGAACACAGCCTATGGATTTTGTTAACTCCTGATGCCAAGGAGCGAGCATCGGTGGCAATGCATCAAGAGAAGTGCTCTCGCCAGTTGGCGAGCAGCAACCGAAGCAAAAAGTGTTTTGCATTGCGACGTCCAGAAAAACAAGAGTGGCTTCATCGGATGCTATCACATGCCTGGCAGTGGAAGAGAGAATGGATCTCGTGCCAGTGACATAAAGGGCACAGTCGCCTTTTTAAAAAGGCTTTAAAAGTCTGGAATTAATTGTCACGCTTGGTGTCGCTGCTGCTCCACCTCCAAAGAGTGAACCCCGCAACGAAATGGCAGGAAAAACGTCCTCAAGGAGATATGACCGTTCACCGTCTCCGTTCACAATAAACTCGAAGATTCGGGACTCGGTTTCCGTGGCGGGGGAGATGGGGCGCGAGGTAATGCAGGGCCGGAGGAGGGGCATGGCGCCGGTGCGGCCATTAGCTCACCTGTGCTGTCGGCGTGCGCCTTGACAGCAGCCGCCTTGAGGCCCTCCCGGCCCCCGGCCCCTCGCTCCCTTTTTTCGCCTCGGGCGGGGCCCGCCGTTCATATCCCCGGTTCTCGCGAGCCTCACTCCGCCGCGGGTAGACGGCGTGCTCGGGGGCTGGCGTGGACGACGCCGCCCAGAGGCTGGGAATCCGGTGAGCGGTGAATGTCGGCAGGTGCTGTGCCGATCGGGAGGCTGGGTTGAATTGCCACATCGGGGGCAGGATTCGAAGTTGGGCGGCTGTTGTCTGCCGCGGGTGTCCACTCCTTGTCTGCCTGCCTGGGGATGGCAGCAGCTCCAGCTGGCCGAGTGGGGACTCTCTTTCTGGCGGTGTTGCTGCTGATGGCCTCCACCGGTGGGCGTGTGCGTTGGGCGTGGGCGCACGGTTGTGGTGGCACTGCCGGTGCGCCCGCCGTGTTAAGTCCTTTGTCGTGAACGGCGAGCGGCGGCCCGGTTGAGCGCACCTTTCTGCTGCGTTGCAGATTGATGTGATTGGCAACTGGCCTCCGGCCTGGAGTCCATGCGCGCCACGGGATCGCCGGCGTTCAGCGTCCCCGACGTGCCCGCGGCCCCGTCATCTGCCGCCCCGCGCCGACCGCTGTTTGCGCCGGGTCAAGCCGGGCGTTGTTCAAACCTCAGAGGGGAGCAGGAGGAGGTGGAGGGGAAGGGGGGCCCGGCGGTGGCCTCCAGGTGTGCGTCAGAAGTCGCTTTTCCGCTCGGAGGCAGCCAGGCGGCTTGGTAGGCTCTCGCGGGCTGAGCGAGCCCCGTGCCGAAGGCGGAGGTCTGGAAACGCAGGCTGCCTCCGCGACGAATCAAGCGCGCCAGGTGAGGGGGCGCCTGAAAGGCATGAGCTCGGGTGATGACGGCGGAGCAGGCGCGCCCGCCGAGATGCCCGTCGTTGATCCGCGTGGCGAGCCGGCCGCGGCAGAAGCGGCGGCGGGGGCGGACGCACGCCAGCCGGGGCGGGCGGTGGGGCGAGTAGGGGAAGGAGCACCGTCCAATGTCGTCGTCGAGGGGGGCAGCGGCGGTGCTCCGCCAACGCAGGCCGTGACGACCCCCGTGGCGGCCACCGGCAGCAGTGGTGGCCAAACTGGTGAAGCTCTGGGCTGCTCTTCGGCCGTGGCAGCTGGCGGCATCGGAGGGATGCTACCCGCCAGCCCGTTCCACGCGCCCTGCTCGACTTCCAGCGGTGTATCAATGATCCCGCAGAGATCAGTTCCCGCCGACTTTAGGGAGGCGAGCAGCGGTGGGCCGGGCCAGGAGCCGGCGCTATCCAGCCCGTTCAGCTCCGGGGATGCGGGCCTGGGCATCTCCGACGGCCCGGCCCCCGGGGGGCGATCCGGCGGGCTGGCGCCAGGCGACCCCGCCCGCCTGGGCCCCGCCAACGCCCACAAGCGCGCCATATCCGCCACCGCGCGGCAGGGCTTCCAGTACCTGCCCTTCATCCCGCAGGCGGAGGGCAGCGCCGGGGGGCAGCAGCGGGGCGGGCTGCCCGCGCCGGCCACGGGCATCACCCGGACAAGATCTGCGCCCATGCCGCCGCGGCCGCCCGAGCCTGAACCCAAGGGTCAGGAATTTGGACAAGGGCGACAAGGCGAGTCGAAAGATGGGGAAGAGAAGCAGAGCGGGAGGTACGCGAATGTCCTTTGCGGTGGCTCGGCGGACATCGGCCAGAGGCGTACCATGGAGGACTACTTTATCGCGGGTAGGGCCGGGGAGTGCGGGGCGGGCGCAGAGTCCCAGATCGAGGCCTTCGTCGGAGTTTTCGACGGCCACAACGGCCCGGAGGCGGCGCAATTCGCCAGCGAAAATTTCATGCCCTTCCTGGCCGAGGCCTGCGCCCAGGGTTCGGGCATCGCGCCCGCCCTCAGGGCCGTCTTCCAGCGCTGCGAGGCTGATCTCTACGCCGCCTGGCGCGGCGGATCTTTCGGCGAATCGGGCACCACGGCGCTGGTGTGCGTGCTCACGTCCGACGGCCACCTGCGCGTGGCCAACGCGGGCGACTGCCGAGCGGTGCTGAGCAGGGCCGGCCGCGCGGAGGCCCTGACCCAAGACCACAAGCCCGGGTGCCAGGCGGAGCGCGGGCGCATCATTGCCGCGGGGGGCTACCTGGACGATGACGACTACCTCAACGGCGAGATCGGCGTCTCTCGCTGCATCGGCGATTTCCACTTGGGGGCCATTAAGAAACCGGACGACGGGTCCGGGGCGCTCATCCCAGACCCGGATTTGTACAATGTCGAGGTGACGTCCGAGTGCGAGTTTGTTATACTGGGCTCGGACGGGCTGTGGGATGTGCTGAGCAACCAGAGGGCCGTGGACCTGGCGCGAGGCGAGCTGGACGAGAGCCGCAGCGCGGAGAAGGCGGCCAAGAAGCTGGTGTTCGAGGCCAAGTGCAAAGACGGGCGGGACAATATCACGGCGGCGCTGATGGCACTGTGCCCGCTGCCGTTCCCAGCGAGGAAGTCGGCCCGCAGGCAGTTCGTGAACAGTCGGCTGAGGCTCAACAGCCGCAGCCTGATGGACCTGAAGCAGGCCCTGCAGAGCGCGGAGGGGGCGCCGCCGGCCGGGCCGTTCTGACTTGATTCAAGGGGAGGGTGGGCGAAACGGGGATTTCATGGTGGGAATGGGGACTTGCGAAGCGCCAGGCCTGTGCCCGAGGCATTGGGGCAGCCCACATTCCTGCGAAGTCCCAGTGGCGCCGACGGCGCCAAAGGCAGAGTGACAGTCCAAAGGGGGAGGCATAGGAGTAGGAGCCGGTGCCGTAGTTTTGAATTTTTTTAGTGTCAAGAAAGGGCGCGTGTGGCTGTGTCCGTGGACACACGTGAGGCCATCGTCGCAGACGCCCAGAGGTGTGTTATGGGAGCCGCGAACTCTGAGCCAGGTTTGCGAGGTGTCATCTATTGCGGGATCGGTCTGCAGTTCGCCGCAGTGCCGGACAAAATAGTTGAGGAGGTTAAGCACAAGTACAGCAAGATTCGTATTGGTACACGCCAAGATTTATGGAGATGCGGGTCGCATATCGACTCCTGTAGCAATAGAGAGGCACATGGAAAAGAAAGAGCATTGCGTACTTTGGGGAAGGGGTGCTTCTGGGGATTGAGGGCTTTGGGAAATGGGGCAACAAAGTTTTGACTTTTTTCCTGTGAGCTGTGCCGTTCGTGAAGCACGCCCGGAGGTTTTTTAAGTACGCGAAGATAAAAGAAATAGGTGTGATGTTGGTGACTCGCAGCTGTTTGTTTATTCTTCTGCATGCAGCAATGGCGGCGCGTGCGCGCAGCTGCATGTTTTGGAAGCACATTTTTTAACATTTTCAAAGTTGTTACAGATTGGTGTAGGATGGCGCCGGAAGGACTCCTGCTTGGCGTGTGGGTCGCCGTGTGGCCCGCTTTTTCCAAATGACAGCGTTGCTTTTGACTTTTTTAATGTCAGATTCCTTCTGCCGCGGCCCTATCTGGGGAAACCCAGGTGTGGTACAAAGATAAGGGTGGGCGGCGCCTTGGCTGCGCAGGGGTGGGTCCTCAGCGAACCGTGCTGACAGATGTAGATATGGAGATGAGCACATGGCATGCAGAGGAAACACATCGTGGCACCCCTGCTGGCATGAAATGGTGCCAACGCAGATGGTTGTTCATTTTAGGAACATGGAGGTGCTCAGGTCAAAGTGTTCCGGTTGGGCACATCAATCAGCAACCCAGCAAGTCAATGGCCAGTCAATACTCCTGCAACCCAGTGGAAGTATCACTCATTCCATTGAACGGTGAGTCCACAGACATGCTTGAGGGGTCACTGGTGCACCAGCAGCATGCCCCATGTTGCTTTGAAAGGAAATTCCTGACTGCGCTGCAGGGTGCCTCACACATTGCGCAAACAGAATGGCGCCATGTACATTTCAGCGCAAATGTCCAGAACCGCTCATTTCTAGACATGAAAGTCTTGAAGTCACGAAGGACATGATGGTCATTTTCCGGTCTGTTTCTTGTCTTCGGGTTTTCCTGCCTTTGTTTATAGGGCCTTGGCGCACTTCATAACCTTCATGATCTGCATGACCCCTTCATTACCTCGGCACCCAGAAACGATAAACCTCCATGTCTGTGCGTGCGCCCCTGGCGCAGCGCCCTCTCCATTTTCCATAACACACGCAGAGGCAAAAGAAACAGCATGGCACGTTACACCCTATGATGTTCCTCGACTCGACGAGTTGCCTGTCTGCACATCTGGCGGTTCGAAACCTCGCTTCGCCGTTTTCTTTGGTCTGGTGTCTGAGTCGGGGCTCAAGACTTGGCAGACCTTGCTGGCCATGTGGGCAAGTGCACCTGCAAGAATCTTTTGGACAGCTGCGCTCAGCACCATGCAGTCTTAAGCGCGCTCCAAAACAGGTCAATTAGTGTGGCATGGATACTGTCGTGCCTAACCGTAGCGGCTGCCCACTGTGCAAATTGTCCGGCAAGGTTGGACACGATCAACTGACAAGGACGAGGTGGTGCTTAATTGTACCAGAGAGCTGTCGCGCGGTACGGGTACGCCACCATGGAGGTCATAAGAAGGGAAGTGCCAGTGCGTTTAAAGGCGCGAGATTCAAGGTGACGCATGGAGGCTGTCGATTTTGGGAGGCCAGTGCGTTGAAGGGGTTTTGGGCTGCTGCAACCCAGTGGTACGGTAGGCCTTCGCTGCGTCACATTTGTGTGGGGGGCATTTGTATATACAGTTAATACTCTTACAGGAAAAAGTGTTACAATAAATTACTGCAAAGTACTGACCATTAGACCATGTTAGACATTAAAATTATAGTTTTTGACGTGACAGTCATCACAAATATATCGTCTGCATATATGTCACATGGCAGACTGCCAGTGCCTGTCAATGCCAATCTGGAGTGGCATGTTTGCTCCCGCTGCGAATCTTCCATCAGATTGCTGCCTTACAGTTCTCGCTTCGCTATTTCGTTGATCCTGACTGGCCGATTCCCACCACTGCTGCCAGTACCGGCCCCGGCAGAACACTTCGACATTGGCATTCTGTCGTATCAGTTGTCCTCACGGGTTGAGAACTGGCATGAAAGCAGGTGAATGGCAAAGAACGCGAAGCGGGTGGCTGGTGCTTCAGAAATTCTTGGATATTTGGTGATGCCCAGGATTATTGGATGAGCGATGTGCGTGTGAAGAGATGTTTGCATAATGCGCCTTGATGTGGAGCGCCTCAAGCAACGGGGCCAATCGCTGGTATACCAGTGCTCAGGTTTGGTCTTTAAGTTTATGGCGCCTTTTTGTTTACGTTCGCATGTGTGAAAACGTGCAAACACAGAAATTGCTACATTTGCGTTTTTCTACGGTGCGTTTCAGACAGCCATGTTACATGATGAAGTCGCAAACAATGATCAGTTCTCCTCCCCCTCGGGCACCCGCATCGCAACGCCCACCTCGACCTCGGTAAGGACAACGATATCGCCGAACAAAAGATCCTTGTCTGCACGCCCCAGAACGTCTGGCTGCCACTCTACAGACTCCCCAAGTCTGTGTGTACGGTCGCTATGTGCAGAGGCCCTGTATTTACGTATTTTTACGCGTTCTTACATGCAAAAGCGTAAATGCTATTTTCAGGCGCACATACACGTAAACGCGCTGTGTTTGCACCGCAAAGGCCAAGCATGGCACGGCCCATCAGCAGTCCCCAAGGAAAGCTGGAAGGGGCAGAATCTGGAAGCCATGGAGCAGCACCCTCACGGCATTGCATGTGAAGTTCCCCGAGCTCAGCGATGCGGCGCCATTTCTTGCACGAATACATTCCTTGTTCGCAACGGCGTTCCTGCCATTAACGCACACATGTAGGCATCAAGTTCTGGCGTCTAAGACCGACTCTCACTGAGACCGATATATTACCAAATGCCTCCGCAGCTCCTCCACCACGAAATGCAATCCCTGGGCAGCTCCTCCACGTCTTCCCGCCACCGACGTTGACAGGCGTCTCCTGGCGATTGCCCCCGGGAATCCCGCAAGCACCCGCGCCGGTGGGAAAGGCCCCAAGCTCGAGCGGCCCCAAAGCACAAAGTACCCAACAATGATGAGGTGGTGACGCAACGCTCAAGCCTTACGTCACGCCATTGTCGGGTGCCCCGTACTTTGGGACCGCCCCCCGTCTCGATTCCCATGAATCCGACAGCCAACGCCACTGCTTCCCACCGTGATCGTGACAGGCGCGACCCCCACCCCGCACCCCTGTAGCCCCAGAATCGCGTCGATCAAACCCCGCTCGTCCCGTTCCATCCCACCCTCGGAAGATGGCCACAAAAAGTCCTTTCGCGCACATCGCGGGCCCACCCCGCCCGCGCGTGTTGGGTGCTCGAGGGGCAGCGCGCGCAAAGAAAGCCGCCCCTCGAAACAACAGAACGGCGGCGAGCGCCCTCCAAAGGGCCGCGGCGCATGCCTGAACCCGTCGCGGGCGCATACAGGCCGGCGGGGCACCTGCCCTGACACCCGCGGGGGGGTCAATTTTGGACCGGTGGACAGAAGACAGGCGCAGAGGGGCGGACGATGAACGGAGCGGGGCACATGGAGCCCAGGAGCGGGAGGTCGGGAGGGGCGGTGTCGCCCGTGGAGCAGGACATGATGAAGAAGCTGGAGGCGGCGCTGTCCAAGCAGTCCCTCGGCGCGGAGTCCAAGGGCCAGCTGGCCGCCAGGCGGCGGGAGGAGGAGGCGGGGTGCAAGTGCGGCGCCCTCATGCGGGCCAGCCAGCTCGTTGATCAAGGTGGGCGGGCAAAGCGCCGCGGTGAATCGGCCGGGTTGCGGGGCGTGTGCATGCATGGGCGCCGTGGGTGCATGCATGTCTGGGGCGCGATCGCCATGGGATTCGCGAAGTAATCGTTCGGGACTCGCCGCTTTGAGTTGCATCGATACGGTTCAATGGACGGTCGCGCCGCCCACTGACTGCGGTCCTGTAGCGGGCCGCGGACGGGCCGCGGCTCGACGGCATCGAGGACCGGGCGATTTCCGCGGGCTAGATGTCGTGATGCCGACGCCCGCAGATAGGAATGGCCGAGGAGCCCCCCTGCGGAAACTGAAAATCCAGGAGCTGCATGAGGGCGGCATATCAGCGCATGGGGGGCCCCTTGGGACGAGAAGACTCCCTGCTGGGGAAGGACGATCGCACAGGCGTCCATATTGCAATCCTGCGAGCGGGGCATTGCCTACTGCAAAAGCTTGGCCTACGGACTCTCATCTTTCCATCCTTGCTCCACTAAGGTCCTTCCAAGAAAGCAGCCGTTCCTTTCAGGCGGTCCAACTGTAATGATGAGCCTCAGCAGCGTCATGCAAAATTGTCTCTTCGGAATGTCAAGAACTTACCTGCTGCAGGATTCCTTTCAACGTCATCCACATAAACTGGTCCTGATGCTACATAGCCTGTGCTTGGTTGTATGCAATCCGGCCTTTAATAAATCGCATGTCCATCAAACTACCAATTTGGATATGTACCACATATTTTGAAGTCTTTCAGGCCTTGTGAAAGCACCGCCCTTCCGAGGTATCATTTGGGGCGGAGCTGTGGTGCCAGTGCATCCGCTCAATATAAGCAAATTTGCTTAAACAGGGCATGTCTGCTCATATGTGCACTTTTCGGGCGCAGCTTCAACCAGGATGGCCAGCATCTAGATTTGTGCTGATCATATGCTTCTGCAGGTCCGTTCATTTTGCATCCTGACGATTTGCAAACATGTTCCTGTTTGTTCATTATCAGGGATGATGTACCAACGAAATATTTGCCATAGACTTGTACGGACAAACAATTTCAATAGCCCTATCGATTGGTCCATGAATGAGCATTTTCTAGGGAAATATAATTTGGGCTCACAGAAGCAGAATCTACTTGTTTGGTGCAGCAGCCTAACAGTATTTACTGGGTGCAGGAACAGGGCCAGTTTCACCCTGACACATGGCTCACCCTCAGCTTCAGGGCACTGCTGTATCCCGTGACAATAAACTGCTCTGCTGATTTATGCTCATGCAGCTGTGTGGACAGCTGGTGGCACCTAGAGTGCAGGGCGCTCAGCATATTCGCTGCACATAAGTCACTATCAAAATAGCACTTTTTACGAACACATATGAAATGCGTTTAGCAATGTTCTGCACACTAAGAACACAATAATAACCCAAAACTGTGAACTTTGTACACGTTTGAACACGTGCTATGTGGCCCTTTTTCCCTAGTGAGTTGCATGCTGCTTTGGCATGTGGGGTTTCTGTAACCAGTGCCTTCTCACGTTGGCATGTCCTTGCTGCTTGCTTCCAGTTATATCTGAATCTTTCAGGCGCCTGGGTTCCATGGTCGGCGCCCACCCCATCTGGGTCATCATCGTTACACTGCTTTTCGTCGCCTTAAGCGCCATTCCCCTCCTGGAGAAGGCCTATCCTGGCAAGGGCTTGGTGGCTTTTCATGAGGAGCTGGACAAGGACAAATTGTACGCCCCCACCGGGTTCAGGTCCTCCGATGACAGTAAATATGTAAAGAGCATCTACGACAAAGAGCAACTGGTAGGGATGGATGTCCAAAGCTGCAATCAAGCAGACAGCCTGCATCGGCAGCATGTATCAATGGATGGTAATTCCAAGGGCCTTTGATCAAGAGATGGTGTTGTGCAGCTTACTAGACAAGGTGGCCACTGTTTGCTGTAATATTTCTCCAGGCGAGGATCCTCGCCCTGATCCTGATCGGGGGTTGAGACGGTCCCTTCAGTGTGAAGAGTTATTCATCTGATTACTATCGGTTTCTGGCATAGATGGATTGCCAGAGGCTTCTGCATTTGTGGATGGGATTTGCCACCCAAAGATGGAATTATGGTTGTCGGCAGCCTCCCAACACAATGCAGTGAAACTTGTTGACTCCTGCAGTTTTATATTTAGCTCAAACAGCATAAATTTTCGTTCAATTTACAGCTGCATGAATGTGCAATATGCAGACTCAGCTGGTTCTGGTGAAGAGGGACACGACTAGTGGATCCCGCAATGTTCTAACGAGGGACCTCGTTGCTGAGGCGTGGGATCTTTGGGAGTGGATCAGGACCCTCGAGGTGGAATATGAAAACCAGACGTACCGGTGGGAGGACGTGTGTGCAAGGAACGAAAAACCGGATTCGGACGAGCAGCTGCCATGCAAGGTGATACACACTCATACATGTTGCCGCAGTATTGCGTCAAGTACAGTCCGCAGCAATTGCCGTTGTATTTTCATTTTTATGGCCCGCACTGGTGCTCGAGTCAGGCAGCAGACAAGAAAAGCCATTGCGAACTGAGCTGTTGTGCACGTAGACAATTCAACACTGCATGTATCCCAAGGATTTTGTATGTTGTGTCCTTTTCTATTGCAGTCTTTGCTACTTGAAGCTTGATGGCGATTCGCCTCTGAGAATGTGAATGCTTGTGGTCTGCCACTGTATGCATGAGTCAAAATTTGCAATCCTACTCTGCTGTGCATTGGGCTGGCATAAATCTGATGAATTCACATGAGCATGCGTATATTTACCCACTGTGTTTTTGAACATAGTGCTGCAACATTATGCAGCTCGTCAGAATAGCTCAGAAAGCCAATGTTATCGCAACCGCCATTGTGGGATGAATTCAGCTGGTGTTAAGGTTCTTACATCATGTGTGTCAATTGTTCATGGTGCAAAGATGTTCAGCATCTTTGACGTGTGGAGCCTGAACCGGACTGCATTTGAGATGGATGATAACTATTTAGAAACGATGACCAAGAAGACAGTGGCGCCTGGAGAGGAGCTGGTGAAGGGGCTGGCCAAAGGTGTGTGCTGATGCCTGGTGATGGAGGCGATTAGGATCCTGATAGATGCAGTAGGATGCATGAGGATTCTAGTGGACGCTGTAGGAAACCCTAACTGCCAAAAATTTAGGGCGTTGGCTGCTCCTGAAGAGCTATTTCTCACTAACGCATGCACTTTCTGCTGTACTGATTTGTGCATTGTGGACGCCGTCACAGTATGGAAGAAATTTTATGTGCTGCAGACAACAGCTTCTGCCTGGTGCTGAAGACACATGGCCACTGTCTCTTTGCCATGGTGTATGAGGCATTGTAGTGAGGCATTGTAAGCAATATTATTAGTTTTGTGTGCTGCTGACATTGCCTTTGCCGAATTGATTAGTCTAGGGTGTTCTGAGCAAAAACCCGAGTTGTGTGTGTGAAACGTCTGACTCGATGACTCAACCAACTGCAAAAGTGGCTCTACATGGAATATTAGATATTGCTGCCGTGAACACCAATGTCGCTCACGCATCAGCGTTGTTGCATGGCTGGCCACCGTTTCTAGAGTCTTATGGCCAATTCACATTGTTTTGATCCTTAGGACAGTTGATGTAGGCTGATGGGCGGGTGTGGTTGGCCACTGTGGTCGAGACACAACGAGATATCGGTGGCGCATCTGCTCGACACTCGCTGTTGTGATCGTTCTTCGGTTGCGATATTTTCAAAGTCCTCAAAGACATGTCATTTTTTCGTTGAGGACCTTGGTGGAATGTGCTCACGGTGGCTTTACTAATTTTTTTCCAGGCGCCGTCACTGGCTACGGAGCCCTTTTGTTTCGCGATTTGGTTCTGGGCCAAGATTACGTCACCACTGACGAAAATGGGATTCTGAAGTCCGCCGAGGTGTTTAGAATTACAATGATCAAGAAGGAACATAGGGTGAGAGGCGGGGCTGTATGTCTCCAGTCACTATTTGCCCAGCAAGTGTGCGAGGGAGTTAAGGCGCCCAATGTTGCTAAATTTCAGCTCCTATTAGGACATGCACCTGTTCTTGAATGACGTGCATTGAACCTCGGAAGCTACTTCGAATGGCCATCAAATTTTGCATCAATGAGATGAGAAGCTGGAAAGCGACCTCCCATGCGTGTGGCATGTGCAAAGTTTGGTATCTTCTTGAAAGTGATTCAACCGTCCCACACGCGGCCAGCCCATATCCACTAGGGAAAAAAGGGCCAAATATCACATGTCCAAACGTGCAGAAAGTTTACGGGTTTGTGTTATTTTTGTGTTCTTAGCGTGCAGAAATTTGATGAAATGTGTTGTATGTGTGTTCGCGAAAGTGTTATTTGGCCCTTTTTTTCCTAGTGATCGGCCGCACGGCCAACGGGCAGCTTTTCCTAATCTGTGTTTGAGTGCGTTTGGTTTCTCAACAGAGAGAGATTCTTGGCAAGAACTACGACCCGGTCACCACTGCCTGGGAGGCAGAGCTCATCGACCTTGTCACATTCCGGTGGCAAGGTCGGCTGAAGGGCTACGCTGCAAGCTTTGAGGAAGTAGACAGGCAGTCTGAGGAGCAAGTGCACGAGGACCTCCTATTTGCTGCACTAAGCTACGTGTTTGTCATCATTATCAGCCACTTCGTCCTGTTCAGGAACAATCGGTCCTTCTGCAAGGCGCACCTGACTTTGGTCAGCATCGTTGCGAGTGAGTATCATGGCGTCTGTCCGCCATGGTGTTGTCGGAGCAGTGCTGGTCCTCGTGCTGCAGCAGTCTGTGCTACAGATTCTTCGGCGCAAAGTGGTGCAAATGCACCACGATCATAATGTTCTGAATGCCAAACCCTGTGATGCTGTTCACCAGTCATGCAATTTGCAATTCTGCCCCAAGTTTTGCGTGCCACATCATGTGATGACATGTCATGACGCCACGTGACTCACCCAGTGACGGCGTACTGTTGGAAACCATCGAACAAGCAAGCCGCCATCCCCGAAGCAGATCTGATACTGGTCTCCACTAAATATACTCCGATAATGTGAAATTACTTGATCATATCAGAGTATGTCAGCGTATGCGGTATCGTATCAGATAGTTATTGTCTGAGATCAGTTCCAGAACAAGCGTAGCACTCGTTCCGCCGCCAGCTTTCGAGCCTCATTGCGCCGTGTTGCTCGTTTTCTCCCGCCAGTCACCTGCTCCATCATCACCGCGCTCGGGGTGGTCAACCTGATGGGCGTGCCCTACAACCTCGTCGTCAACACCGTCCCCTTCCTGATGGTGGGTCTGGGCATCGATGACACGTTCGTGATCATGGGCGCCTACGCCAGCACGCCGCCCTACCACACCGTGCAGCAGAGGATCGAGGAGACCATGATGAGGGCGGGCACCTCCATCTTCGTCACCAGCCTCACGGATTTCGTGGCCTTCGCCTTTGGCACCTTCACTCGCATCCCGGCCATGCGGGCGTTTGCCCTGTATGCCGCCGCAGGCGTGTTTTTCGACTTTCTGTATCAGGTGGGGGAAGCACAAGGATCTGCGTTTCTTGAGCCTGCTATGCTGTTTTGGCACAGAATCCCTGTTTCTGTGGTTCAAATTTTGTCAGATAAACACGTCATTTATGCGAGTGTGAGGGACGCATTGGAGTGCGGTTTGCCTGTGCTTGAAAGCAGCACATTTCGTCATCATTTGCCATGTTTTTCCAATACTTTGTAGGAGCTGTGAAGTCTAACATTGACAGGAAATTCTTCTTCCTTCATGCACTGTCAAATAATCCTGGAAGACTTGCTGCCTCCTTTGTAAATGGAATGCATTGTGACATATTGTTGCTTGCCTCGTTCTACGGTGCATTTTCCTGCAGTTGCGCTACTCACGGGTGAGACAAGCGTGTCCATTGACCTGACACTGGAACCTCCTCTCTTTCAACTTATCAGCTCTCAAAGAGCCACAATCTGCAGCCAAATTCCACTCAAATGGCTTCGTGGAATTGAAGCACACGCCAGAATGACAAATGGAAGCCTTGTAATCCCTGGATTCGGTTCTCCTTTGCAGTGTAGAAAGGAAGGCAGCAGATGATGGTCAGATTTGCTTGCAGATTCAAACATAAGCTGGAATGGAAGAAGGAACAAAGGTGAGAAGAGACCCCAGAGCGGAATTGTTGGTGTTGATTTTGGTCGGGTGGGTCATGCTGCAGGTCACTTTCTTCGTTGCTTTCGTGGTCTTGGACACAAGGCGAGAGGAGCGCTCGAGGAAAGGAGCACCCCTGTTCGGATTGGGCCCTGTCCCGCCGGCGGCACCGCAAAAGGGTGCCCCAAAGGCCCAAGAGATGTCCAAAATGGAGGCTCAGTGTGGCAAGCAGGTTGGCGGCACAGTGATCAAGCACGAAGTTAACCGCAAAAGGACGTATGAGAAGCAGATCTCCATGACAGAATGGAAGATGCAGACGGGGGAAGAATACCCGAAGTGTTGCGGAAGCGGGGAGTTTGACCCACAAGCGCCCTCCTCAAGCAGAAAGTAAGGGCGAGACTGGGAACTTCAGAATGCAAACGCGACTGATTTGACACTTGTTACTTTCCGCATGAACCAAATGGAGTGAAGTCGGGTACTGAATCATTGCATCATCACAATGGGAAGCAAAGCGAATTCTCAGCGTCCCAGTCAGTTTGCGATTCTTGCACGGGATTTTGCAGCAGAGCGTGACGATCTTCACATGCTTAAAGGATTGTGTTTTCGAATCAAGCAGCCATGGGAGGTGTGGTGGAAACGGGGTGATGAGGACATTTGGGTATGCGGTGTACTTCACGATCTCTAAAGATGCCAGAGGGTGGATCCACTGGGGAGCAGAATAAATGAATCTGATTCACTGCACATGGCAGCAGCCATGCGCAAAGGGTAGTATATGACATGCCATGCAATGTATATTGGTTTGTCAGCACATCCTACACACCTATTCCGTTGTCTTGAATTATGCATCCCTGTGGGGCCTTCGTTCAACTTTATACAGAGCCAGTTGAGGTGCATTCACTGGCTGTTTTGGGCTGGTAGGAGACCGCGATACGCAATGCCAATGGTGAGCGCACGCAGCAGGGTGCAGTGAATGGATCAAAGCATCGTGGAAATTGATGAGGCGCTACCGCTAGATTGCATTTCCACAAATCTTGTCCCATTATACAGAGCGCTATAAACTCAATAGTGAACGCCACCAGTGGAAGTACGTAAAAAAGTCTGTCATGATCGACCGTCAACGGTTATCGAATTCCCTTTCAATATGGGTATGAACTGCGTGAAATTGGCCGACGTTTCCCAGCGTCACAATTCCTCCCAAAATATTCACACTGCCGGTGCCCTCAAATTTCCGTTCTTTGTAATTTTACAGGGTGATCGGAGAGTGGTTGCCCTCGCTGACGCTTCATCCCATGGGAATGGCCATCGTGATGATCATAGAGGCGGTGGTGGTGGGCATAGCCATCTACGGCTGCACGAAGGTGTACATGGACTTCAGGTACACGGCATGGTTTGTCCCCAAGGACTCCTGGCTCAATGACGCCTTCGCCGTGGAGGACAAGTACTTTGGTGGCACCAAGATTAATTTCTACGTCTTCACGAAGGAGCCCTTGGATGGGGGAACGTATTTCGATCACCTGGACGAGCTGGAGGCTCTCGGGGAGGCCATGCGGAACAGCACGGACATATCTGACAGGCCGCTGCCCTTCACTTTCTGGTGGGCATTCCGAACATTCGTGCAAGCTGGTAACTGATTGTGCTCGTCGATGTTGCAAAGCAGTCCAGACTACGTGCGCCCATGTGCGGCGCTTGTTCAGTGTTTTTACAAAAAGTAGCCGCTAAGGTCTTTTGCCGTAAATTGCTGCCTGACGTTCCAAGGGCTCATGGCGTGGCTGCTCTGTGCAGACAGGAGTCGGCAAGTGATCCCGACAAACGACTCTGCAGAGTTCCTCTGGCTGATGCTCCCTTCCGCTGATCTGAAACACTGCGCTGTCCTGAAAACTGCCACGGCTGTCATGAAATAGTGGTCTATCGAAGCACCTCTATGAACCCTGCAGCTTGATGCTCCAACTACAAGCACCTTTGAAGCGGGCGCTTTTGTGGTGATGTCAGGTACGATAATTTCGTCCTGTGGCTCAAATTCTACCACCCCACGGATCTGATCAACGACCGGCCTCCAGACGCTGATACCTTCACCGAGTGGACAAAGGAGTTTCTGTCCACTACGGGGCAGGCCCACCTCGGTGACGTCATCTTCAGCGAAGACATGACGCGAATAATATCCACCAGGACGACCGCCTTCACGAAACCGATTGGACCCATGTCGGACATGATCAAGGTAAGGGTAGAGAACTTGTTTCCGTTCATTGGTAATATGCCCCTTTCGTTTTCTTTAGTTCTCTTTCAAGTCCAGAATGGTGGTGCTGGCGGCCGAGCATAGGATGGGCGATGCACTTTCATTCCTATGAGTGTGATTGTTCATAATATTGACGTATCCAAGGAAATGTTTGTAATTCTACTAAGTTTCTCCGCAATCTCGTGATAGAGAACGCTCCTGCCGTTCAAAGATGCATCTTGTCATCATCACAGCTTATCGTCGAATGATGAAAGCAGCCTCCAATTCTTGTTTCTCGAGTTCCCCTTGGTCGTGGTTCCACATGCTCTTAAGTGGATGCATGGCATTTATCGATCAGACGCATATGTTTGTCTTTTCTGGTAGCAGCACTGATGCTGCAGCACCTTCGCAACCCTGATGGATCGGAGTGCCTTCAAGACTTCTGTATTCTGAAAGATGTTCACCGTCTCAGAATGTGATGGCAGCAATTTTGTGTTCATGATCGATCGGATGCTTGCACCATTTCAGAGTAAGATATTCCCAAAGTTAGAGACCTCTATCCAGACGACAATCCGCCCAGTCCCTCAGACAAGGAAATCAGGTTTATTGGTGGTGGTGAGCCGCGATCTATTTTTGAAGCGAAATACTTGCACCACCCATTGGCTCCGAGTTTCTAGGTTTTGGCAATGTACAGGTCAATCGTCTCCTCCCAAAACCATTTGTAATATTGACAACATCATCGTTGGAAGTGACCATTTAGTGCATCATTTTGAAGATTGGCCTCGAATTTGAACGTTAATTTTCTGCTCTCCAAGGTTGTTGACAACGTCCAGGCTGCGGCGACGGCTGCCTCTCCTAACCTGCAGGCCTTCCCCTACGGGGGCCTGTTCCCCTTCATCGACAGCTTCCGAATCGTCACCGAGGAGACCATAAAAAACGTCATTTCGGCCATGGTGGCGGTGGGACTCGTTTGTTTGCTGGTGCTGGCGGACTTCCCGACCACATTCGCAGTCATCGCGATGATCGCGCTGACCGATCTGTGGGTGTTCGGTGAGTAATGCACTGCTGCCTTGAATGCAGTCTTTTCTAAACACCGATAACAAAGTTGTTTTCAATCCACTGGAGTACTGCGACTGGTTGACCATAGCGCCAGCGGCAGTGGCCAAACGATGCGTGGATGGCGCGTATGTTCTTCAATGTGCGCATGCAATCTGTTGAGACACATACGCATCGACGCACGCATATACTCTTTAATTTTCCGAGCTTCAGTGTGAGCCAGCCCTATGGCGCCCTGCTGGCGGCGTGGTGCATGTTTACCATTTGAGAAACCAAAGATCGCTGGAAGCCAGACTGTCTCTGACAGCATCTTCCTGGGCATCCAAACCGTAGCGATGGCGTGGTCCCCAAAGCCCAGTCGCGTCGCATCCACCGAACCACACGTCAGCATTTTAGTGAACAGCTCGTATGCTTCCCACTTCCTGGCACATGTTCTACTCGCCCAAGTATTGCTGCCAATTAAATTGGGCCCACGTAAGCAGTGCAAAGGCACGTTAACGTTGGCTTGTCTGCCGCTCCCTCTGACGCGCCTCCCCCCGCTGCAGGCTCCATGTGGTACCTCGGCCTCCAGTTCAACCTCGTGACGAGCATAAACCTGATCCTTGCCGTCGGCATCGCCATCGACTACTCCGCCCACGTCGCCCACTCCTTCCTGGTGGTGGACGGCAGCCGGCGGCAGCGCGCCCAGAAGGCCCTTTACCACATCGGGGGTGAGGTCTTCAGCGGGGCAGCCACGACGCTGGTGGCGGTGGGTGCCCTTTTCTTCGCGGAGCACTTCATCTTCCACGTCTTCTTCAAGATGTTCTCGGTCATCATACTGTCCGGCATCTGGCATGGCCTGGTGGTGCTGCCCATCGTGCTTAGCGTCATGGGGCCACCGTCCTACAGCGCCAGGTGACCGGCGCGTCCCTAATTAGGGTGGGATGCCCTCCCTGAGATTAGGCCAGCTGGAGGTGAGCACTGTTGCGGTTGCTCAGTGGGTGTACAGCCGTAGGCGAATGCGTTGCTGCTTTTGTGGCCAAGAGTACTATTACTAGACCCGCAGCACAATTTTAGTGGAAGGGAGACAGGGCTGGGCGCCGGCCAATTGCAGGGGAGCCACGGTTGCGGTTTCACAGTGGGCACGCGGCCCTTGGCGAATGCATTGCTGCTTGTGTGGCTGAGAGCACTACTGCTAGGCCAGCAGCACAATTTTGCTGGAAACGACTGGGTACAGTGCACTGCGGAGGGGGGCGGCAGCCTTGCTTATGGAGGTGCATGGGTCGAGCTGGCCCCTGGGGAGGGACAGCGAGGCTGCCCGTAGTTAGGGCTCATGCGGTCGGGGTTGCGGCGTCCGCTGTTGTGAACCGGGAAGGCGTGCGTGGGGTGCGGGGTCTGTACCTGTATATGATCGGCTTGTTGTTACGCTTGGATTGCGTTGAATCGGCGCGTTCTACCCGAGTCTCGCGTGCTTGGTGCGGGAGGAGGAGGTGGAATGGCGAATAATAAAGGACACGCACCTGACCTGGTGGGAATCGACACGTTGTCATGCGGACGGCTATATGTAACCAGGGCTTGCGGTTTCGCCGCTGCCCTTTCGTGGACCCATGGGTACGTGTATTGAAGGTTTTGAGAATTCTGGGGCCTGGGAGCATTAGATGGGCCCCGAGGCCAGGTTGGATTGAGCTTCTTGCCAGAGCGGGCCTCCAGGCGAGCGGCACGCGATTTCTGCTGTTGGTGACGAAGGTGTATGGCGACAAGGTTGCGGGGCTCACAGTTGTGGCTTCGCCAAAGGACGTGCCGGGAAATCCACAAGTCCGTGTGCTGCGCACGTTCTCATGGGATTTCTCCACTGCAGCTTTGCAGAAGTGTTGGCTGATCGCCCTGGGCTCAGTCTAGCGAACAATGTGCTGGGCGCTTGTACGTGGTGTGCATCTTCGAGTCTGGACTTTCCCGTACCTGTCCATTGTGTTGCAGGACGGACCACTGTCCTTTCGGCCGCGCGTCGAAGTTGCGTGAACCGTATCCGATATGCAAGCGGGACGGGCTCGGCGAGGCGAAGCGGTCCAAATCCGAGCTTAGGTATTCCGCCTATCCCGCTGTATTGCTCGCACTATCAGAAAACGCCCTGTTTGCGATGCAAGCTGCAGCGCCATTTGACACAAAGCTGCGCCATCACAGTGATTGCGATGGCGCAAAAGTTGCTGTGATGGCATCAATTACTGTCAACAGGCACCGCAGTTGGCATCGCAAAAATGTCGATTACTGCTGGTGTCATGGACTCACCCGCGTGAGGTCCTCAGCGAAAGCCCACACATCCCGCTGCTGGAAAATGGACCAAAGAGCCGCTCATATGACGCACTGTGCCCCCGCGCTATCGCGCGGATTTGCCCATTGTAGCCCATTTGGCCATTGCCGATTATAGATTGCCAGAATTTCAATACAGTTTGGGCAATGCGCTGAAAACTGCGCTAGCTGGCCAATTGGGCGCTGACGCCGCTACAAGGGCTGGCGACGGTGCCACGGTGCCAGCCATATGAACTGTAGCAGGTTGTCCGATTTTGCCACCGGTGCTCTCCAAAGACGCGGGCGCGAGTAGTGGCAAACAGGCAGCCTTGAAATGCCGTATGCGTGCGACGTACACGCCGAGTGCCCTCTACAACAACACCTGATGTGCCGAAATGCTGAAGGTTCGCAAGTGCTGAGATGTTCTGAAGTACTGGAGATCTGAACTCCAAATCCTGGGCCCAGTCCAGGGGGGACTCAGCCATGGAGCTGATCGCCATGTCCCGGAGACAGCGTGGATGCATCGTACATATCCTCACGCGATCACGTGCTCAGTACATCAACGAGAACGTGCAACACAACAGGACGTCTTTGTACGGGCAGCTCACATGCGACGAAGAGGTACCACGGGGCGGTGCGAGATGTTCCGGTACACTGTCCCTCCACGGACACGACCCATCAGCATACGGCCCGTCGTGGCGTGATGCTCGAGCCAGAGCCCTTCCCGTTCACGGGGCATCAGCATCCAGGCTGCACGCGCGCGCCTTGGGGTTGTAGTCTCGTATCTTGCAAGATACAATACCATTTCTGGACCTTGTCAATGCCCTGTCTTGGATCGGCATACTTTCGGAAGGGCCTAGGGGCTTGCGGACACCCAGATGTCGTCCGCCAGCAGCGCACAGGGCAGGCAAAGGCCTCGGGGGGTTGCTCCAGCTGTGGGCTATGCACCGGGCTATTCTGGTGCGATACCAGCACAGTTTGTGTACAGTGCTCGTGCACTGTTTGTTGCCCAGCTTCGATGCTGCTGTACTGGGTCTGCCTTTGCTGGTACCTGGCACGGGGGAAGGATAGCCTGTCCTTCCCACACACCACCCCTACCATCACACCCACCACCACACCCAGCCCATCTGAACACCACCGCCGCCAGAGTCCGGGCCCAAGGCGCCATCGATAGAAGTCATGACCTCGTTCAAGGCACCAGTCCGATCAGGTTGCCCGGTCATCAGACAGCAGCTCGCTGTTGCGGATCACGCTGGCTTTGCAGTCACCCCATTGTTGAAAGCCTGCGCCAGGGAGGGCCCTGCAGCAGCTGCGCAAGTTCACAGAAGCCTGTGCGCCACCGCCGGAAGCCACGCGCTTGTTCTGGGCACCAGTCCGATCAGGTTGTCCGGTCATCGGAGAGCAGCTCGCTGTTGCGAACCCCTCTCGTTTTGCAGTCACCCCTGTGTTGAGAGCCTGCTCCGGCGAGGGGCAAGAAGGGGCCGAGAAAGCTCCCTGAAGCCATGGCGGCGGGGCGGCGCCCTCCATCAACCGCAGCGATTAAAACGCACGCCACACATTCCATGCACTGGCGTCCACGGTCGGCCTGTGTGTCTCACCACACGCGCACCCGCCTTCACGCGCGTGCTACTCCCAGTTCCCAAACCTTCCATCTCAAGCCCAGATCCCGCCCTCGCGCTCAGTGTGACTTCCCGCTCTTCGCGTTGGGAACTGTCCCGCGCTGTGGCGAAGCTCACCACGTGGCATGTTCCCGTGTGCTTGAGTCACCGCGTACAGCAGAGCCACGCGTACGGCAGCCCGCTCTCGTGGCCTCCGCGGCCACCACGACACCCCACACTGCGAGCGCCCCTTTTCCCACCCGGGACAGGCAGGACAGACAGAATCTGTAGTCCAGATTCGTGGACGCCCCTCGCGGGTGCCCCCCGGCTCCCCGCCCTCGACCTCATGTCGTTCCGCCGTTGCCCATCACAATTTGCCAACACCCACTGACTGACGGAGTGAGGGTTTGATGGCAGACGGTGGTAGGGTGACGGTACGCCTAAAGTGTGACCGGGGCCCACCCTGTCAGAGGCGTACCTGCGAGGCAACCACTTGGACAACCACAACCCAAATTGTGGGGGCCTCCTGTGTACCATCCGCGGCGCCGTCCAAGGTTGGAGGCCCAGGGAACAAGTGACCAGCCCTCCACTCCACGCTGGAAAAATTTCTGCGGTCGCTCGTGGGTAGCCGGGAGGCAACAGCTGGGCGGCTGCCGCGGGCGGGGTCGCAGATCGGCCCACTGTGCGGACCCATACGACGCTTCGTTGAAGGGGTTGTTTGCCAAGGGAGGCGGCGGGGCGATCTGAGTGCGGGCGGGCCGTGAGGGGTTTGCAAGGTCGAGGGGAGATGGGCGGGATCGGCGAGGAGGACTGGCTGGCGGTTGGCGTGGATTTGGCGGGGAGGACGGAGGGAAGGAGGGGAGAGGCAGGTGGGCGCGGCGGGGTGCGGGGGCCTCCGCCGGGGCCGGATCGGAGGGGGCCGGGGCGCAGACGGGTGGCGGGGTGGGGGTAGGCGGATCTGGGACCTCGTGGATCGAGGAATCTCGAAAGGGGTGGGGTGGGGTGGCCTGGGGAGTAGCGGGAAGGCGGGGCAGTGGGGGGATGTTTGGAAATTTCGAGAGGGGACGACTGGGGGGAGGGGGGGGGTCCTCCTGCCGGCCACGGTTGGGTTGGCGACAGTCGGGAAGCGCGGGCAGGCGCGGTAGAGGCCTGGGGCGCCGGGCGAGTGGAGAAAAATTTTTGCGGGCCGCGGGCCGTGGGCGATGGTCATCGGGTGCGGGCGGGAAGATTATCCATCCTCGCGAGAGCGGCGCCGCTCCGTGACGTCTTTCTTCGGGGGCGCCGCTGTTCCGAGGGGGGGCCCGAGGGAAGGCGGGGTGGGGGAACGGCGGCGCCCTGCCTCGGTCCCGGCCGGCTTTCCGCCGTTAGGGCTTGCTGCGTGGTTGCCGAGTAGCATCTCGAGATGCCCCGACCCTGGCGTGGTGCCGACCTCACTCCTGGCTCGCCTCGCAGGTGAGGGCGAGGTGTCTCCGCGAGGAGGCGACGTGGCGAGTCTGGCGTCCGATCAGGTGAAAAGACGGCTCGCGGCTTTCCCCCTGCAGCAGTTTTCAGCGGCCTGCTGGCCGGATCGGCTTCGTGACTCCCGGCCCAATGTCTTGCCATCGAGCTTTCCGCACGAGGGTGGCGGTCATCGGACCCCGCGGCACCGGCGCACTCCGATCTCGATCGCTGGGCTGACGGATGGCGCGGGTTGCAGGAGCAGGTGGGCGTTCCGCCGGAGGACCTGCCGAGGCAGCAGCTGCTCTTCATGACCTACGGGAGCAGCAGACAGGGTGCGTTGACCTCCGACAGATGCCCGTGATTCGACGGACGCCTCTGCGAGATAGTGCCACGCTCCCGCACACCAACATGCTCCCCTGTGTCCCCTTCACGCCGCAACCAGATTTGTTGCCGCCACAGAGTGAAGTTCTGAGGACCCTGCAGGGCCCCATTTTGCGTGCCCCGCTTTTCAGTCTCGGGCGCCGTCACAACCCTTGCTGAGGCCCAACCGGCAGATGCCGACTGACGCCCATTTTCGCTCTTTCGCAGCCAAATGGGTGGGGGAGTGGTGCGCCAAGGAGAGCCAGGCCGCCAACGCCGACCGCCGGGCGGAGAGCGGCGCCCTCACTTCTCCCGCCGCACCCTCCAACCTCCGGGCGGCCACGATGCGAGTCGTCCAGGCGCCCGCCTGCCTCGCGCAGCCGGTCACGCAAAAGAAGCCCTTTCGTATACCCTTCAAGGTGCCCCGCCCCCGCTCTTATTCTCCTTCGGCGCCGCGATTCATCGCCTTAGCGCGTTTTTTCTTCAAGATCTGAGCCGGGGATCGCTTTTGGGTTGTGTTGGGGCCTGTGGTGCGCGCTGCGGTCCTCGGCTCCCGCCTCGGCGCCCGGGGCCAGGGTCGAGGCTGGTTGCGGCTTGCCGCTGGGAGGGGCGGGCTGGGTGCGTCACAGCTGATTACCGGTGTCTCTCTCGTGCAAGATGAAATTCTGGCGGAGGGGCCGGTTGGCGGGGATTTGCGCATCTCATAGTAAGCCCCTGATCGCGAAGATGTCAGTCCGCGTCTCGCACATCGCCCTCAACGAGTGGACCGCCGGCTGTACCGCAGAGCCGCGTCCCTGCCAGTAAACGCCCTTGTCTCCTCGTGTGTAATTATGCTGGAGCAGCATGTCGACAACGCAAAAGTCAACGCCGATCTCCAACGTTTTGTACTGCCGCTGGTCAACGGTCGAAGACTGTGGGGGACGCCCGCGGCCCACGCCCGACCAGACTTTTCTTTCTCCGTTTCGCACCATTGTTTTACCTTTTTGCCGACGTAGCGTGCAGCTTGCAATGGAACCTGCAAGTCGAACGTCTGCAACCTCACCCGCAACACATTTTGCAGTAGCCGCCTGGGGCTGTCTGCTGGGTATCCCATTCAACGGTGCTGTTTCGTGTGGCCCCAGGTTCGGCTCGACCTCCGATACACAGAAAGGCTGCAGCTGCCGGTGAAGGTGGAGGCCATCGCCCTGCCAGAGAGCAGTGTTGAGCATCTTGCCAAGCAGCAGGGGGAGGGAGCACTGGTGCCCACACAACTGACGCAGCAAAACGAGTTGGAGAATGCAACGATAAGTTGCTGTATACAGGTGCGCAAGGCTCGCAGCCAATCTGTCAGGTCTCAGGCCTTCTTGTGCTTGGTTCTGACACTTGGCGTGTGCGTGTAGCCACGCTGGCTTTGTGGTTCCACTGCACTTCATTCCCGATCAATTTCGGTTTTGTCAGTGATTGATGGCAGCACTCGGCTCTGAGAAACAGAGCGAAAGATAGCAGAGCGGATCGCTCATTGTGTGCTTGAGGGAATGCACAGCTGCGCAGCCATTGCCAGCAAGAATTGTATTGTTCTGATTGTATTGTGCAAGCTGCACAACAATATTTGAAGCATCTGCATCTTTGCGTTTTCAGACACACGACAACGATGGCGTAGCATCTTGTGAGAAGCGTTGCTTCGAGGACCTGGAATTCACTGATCTCCGTTTCTCCAAGTCTTCCAGAATGAGTCGGCGATGGATATTGTTTGCCTGCAGGCTGGGTTGGGACATGCTGTATGCACTGTATCGTCTGCCAACTATTGTCCTATCCAGGTAATGGTCCCACTAAGTTTTGTTCCAAACCCCCTTTTGCCTGCATTTGCTTTTTTTTTTGCACTCCCTCACATTTATGAATTCGACAGATGCAACAGTGCTCATGTTGACCTGCTTTCCAGCAGTGTTATGATTGTCTGGGATTCATTGAGGTGGGTCTGCTGATGTAAACTTGCATGATGACCAACATCTAGAACTCCCCTCCCGAGAAACAAAGTCACTAAAGAGGGTGGGTTGAGGTGGGGGGGTGGGTACGGGGGAAACAGATCAACTCAGGAAGCTAGAAAATTGCTTGATACGAGTGCAGCAAAGGGAAGTTGGGAATCTGGGTGGGACATAACAGGAAGCGCATGTCAGCCAACAGGAGGGACAATAGCAGAATACTGCGACAACAACCATGACATGGTATGAGCGCCTTACTGCACATCAAGCACACAGCAGCATTTGTGGAGTTTATGTCTTGGCACACAACACACGCATCTCTCCCAAGCCCATTTCCACACAGCTCCTTGCAAAGTCAACATTTCTCATGCACTGATCCAGTCTTGTTTACCACCAGTGATGGCTTTCCTACACCCCGCTTTCCTCCCTATTTGTTGCAATGATTATCTCTTTGAAGAATGTCGCTGAACTGCTGCTGATGGTGTGCTCTGACACTGCCTGTGCAATGTCTGCAGGAGAACAGACCAATTCGACAAGGCCTGTGTGCTTTTGAGGCAGAAGAACATCGTAGGCAGCATGGTCAACAGCCACCAATTGCAAAGTCCCAGGGCTGCAGGCTGTCCAGTTCTGAAGGATTTGGAGCCAGGGACACCCTGCATAGGTACATGTTCCTCAAATGCTGGAATGCTTTGTCGTACTCTGATTCATCTGCTCAATGGGTATGTACTGGGCAATATCTACGAGTTCAGATTCTTTCTGCAAGATGCTTCAATGTCAAGGGTCAACATGTGTCTCCCTGCTCAGCAGCCGAAGGAAGGACTTGAAAGCAGAAGAAAGACAGAAGTTGAGAATTTCCAGTGTTCTCCTTAGCCATGCTGAAACCTCCCCTGTTGTTGATCGAAATCCTTTGCTCTGTGCAGGGATTGGTGATACCATAGGCACACCTACAAGTGACCAGCTCAAGGTTGGTTCGATGGCTATCTACAATAGTCAAGGGAGCATCCGGCAGTTCATCCGTGCCAAGTACGCAGAGTCAGGTCTGAGGCGCCCTTTGACAGACTCTGACCTTGCTGCCCTGGACTTCAAGGCTGGCCTGCGCAACACGGACTCAGGTATGCTATGCCAGACTGGGGACAGTAATCAAGACACAATTTCTGTTCTCACGAGTGGCCATCGGATCAATGAACTGATTAGGGGCAGCAAAACATTCTTAAATGTCTACACACCTGTTGTTGACTACAATTCGCAAGGGTGCCGCTTTGGCTCTCAAAGGCAATTATTTGCAAAGGATTTCAGGGACACTCTAGTTCCCGATCATTTCACCTTGGCTCATTTGCACTATTGTAAGTACTCTTTTGTTGCTGTATGGCTAGTGTGACTTATTTGGAGCTTATGACAAACAACAACGCTTGTCTAATGTGCAATTCATTTTCCAAAAACAGATTCAGATTTCTCAGTATGCCCCTCGGCACAACATGCTGAATTTTTGCCTCACCAATAATGACACTGTCATGGCAAAGGCGTTTGTCGTTTGTGTCCCCCAGAGATTCTGATGCGCAACCCTCAGATTTCTCAGTATGCCCCTCAACACAACATGCTGAATTTTTGCCTCACCAAGAATGACACTGTCATGGCAAAGGCGTTTCTCATTTGTATCTGCCAGAGAACCTGATGGGTTGCCCTTTGCGCACAGGTTTTTTTGCTGATGCCCACAAGTGGCAAGAATTCCAAACTTGGTTTGTTGCCTGCCTGAAGTCCTTGAAGATGGTCGAGCACCTTTGGTGCCCCCAAGGTCTGATGCTCATCTGCCCGTTTGGTATCGACCGAGAGGTCGCGGAGTACATCCTGCAGGACAGACCCCTTGGGACATTCGTTGTGCGGATAAGCTCCCAGCCTGGTGCCTTGGCGATCTCCACAAAGGTACATATCCGAGTTTTCTGCAATTGAGTGTCTTATGGTCAGCTTTGTGGTACTGCTTGTCCTTTCTTATTCTGCACAACTCTTGCAGGCTGCATCGTTACTTTTAATATTTATACTTTTAATACTTTTATACTTTTAATATTGTGTCATTTGCTTTGTGCATAATTGACTTACGCATCAAGCAGCAATTGATTCTTGATGTGTTATGTCCTGATGATTGCAGATCAATGCGGGTCAAGCAGCAGTTGATTCTTGATGTGTTATGTCCTGATGATTGCAGATCAATGTGGGTGGCCTCTCTAAGGTAAACCACGTCCTTGTTGATGCCCTGGACCTCAAGGCTCAGCTGCTGGAGAATTGGGTGCTCAGCAACGAGTGGGCAAAGAATCTGTTGGACATCCACACGGGGGAGTACACATCAAAGTGGGTAGCGTTTGCACCGCAGGCGCTGACCTCAGGTGAGTTGGGAACGCCAAGCATGAATTAAAATGCCCACTGATGAGAGTGCTGTCACGAATTCCAATTGCAAGTGGGCTTGTCACATTTGCCAACAAAAATTGTCAGAGCACAGGCACCTAAGATATGGAGAAGGTCTGTGACAGATGAGCTGATTGAATGATAATATATTATCAGTTTAAGAGTGCTCAGTGCGCGTTTAGACCAGTGGATGTGCTCGAGGCTGTTCATCTGAACAGGAAGCAGTTTTGTCAACCTGGCATGTATGATTGCCGCTGGCTTCAAGGACTGCTGGTGGGCGTACTGGAAGTGTTTTGAGTATGGTAGGGGCATGTTGGAGTGAACTACCACTTTTTGATAACTGTGCCTAAAAATCGACATTTGTGGGAATGCATCAAAAGTTCAGCTGGGCAGATGATGTGTTTTCTCACAGGCCACTGTTCGTGGTCTCCCATCAGAGTTTCCATGTCCTGGGCTTCCCATGACGACGGCTTATTTGACATTTTCCTGTTTCTGCTTTGCAGTGAACTCCTCAGAGCTTGGCAGCCCCCTGTGCATGACCGGTCCTCTGGCAAGCTACTCGCCGCTGTCCTGTTCGACCAACATGGAACCAAGCACACCGACCTTGAGCATCGACCGCTCCGTGAGCGAAGAGACGTCTCTGAGCCACACCATGATGGTGTCCTTGGCCTCTCAGCCCTGCCTCCCACAGCAGCAGCAACAGCCACAGCAGCCGCAGCAGCTGCAACAGCTGCAGCAACAACTGCACCAACAACTGCACCAACAACTGCAGCAGCAGCTGCAACACCAACAGCATCGGAAGCTGCAGCAACAGCAGCTGCAGCAACTGCAGCAGCAGCAACTGCAACAGCAGCAACTGCAGGAGCAGCAACTGCAGCATCTGGACCAACAGCAACAACTCTGTCGACCTCAGGGGCGGAGGCTGCCGTGTGTGCGGCCCTATAGCCCTGGGGACTTCAGAGGCCTGCAATGCTTGGCAGAGGCTGCCACGGTGTCGCCACGGCAGTTGGCAGAGGTGTCACCACGGCATTTGGCAGAGGTGTCGCCACGGCAGTTGGCAGAGGTGTCGCCGCGGCAGTTGGCAGAGTTGTCGCCACGGCAGTTGGCAGAGGTGTCGCCACGGCAATTGTTAGAGGCACCACTCCTGGGAAAGCGGTCGAGCAGCACAAGCGCGGGGACGACGCTGCTATTCGGGGATCATCCTCACAAGCGACGCTTGCTAGGTCTGCAAGATGGGGCACTGTACTCGATGCAGCACAACCTGGGTGCCATCAGTCAGATTGAGCACTGCAATGTGTGAGGACAGCCGCTGTGCAGTGGTTGGATGTTCCAGCAATTTTCGCCACACAAATTGATGCCCACTCAATTCAAGTTGCCAGGATCTGAGATTGGCCCTGTGTTTTGGGGGATGGCGCATACCTGTTGGGAAGGCCTGCAGGTGTTAAAATGACGTATGGGTGGTTGGGAAAGTGGGATAGCACAGCCAGTGTTTGCAAGGGGGTGACCTGGGGGCTGTGGACTTTCGCTGCTGGGCGTGCTGCAATGGGAGTTGGGAATGAAACAGTTTGGTCGAGGGTGCTGCAGCAGAGGAACGATTCATCAAGGGCCCCTGGCAGGAGGGCACTCTTTTTTGTGATTTTGGGTGGCCTAGGAGCATCATGTACAAGCCATATTTGCACAGTTAGTCAAGCAATACTTTAGGCATACTTGGGAAGACAGTTGAAGACTTAACAGGCTGGATAATTGGGTTGATTGCCCTTCTCGTGCGAGCTGGTAGTGGCGAATGTGTCCAGGGGGTTTCAAACGAATAGGTTGCAGGGTTGTTTCACTGTGCAGAGGATCGCACGTAGGACAAGAATGATATGAGCGCATAGGTTTAGATGGACGGTATCATCTTAGCTTAGCGCAAATTGCATGCTTTCCCTCTAGTTCTCATCTCAATTTGTTTTAGTTCTCATCTCAAATGCGTGTTCTCTAAAGGCGCGTCGCGACTGTATATTTGATATGCCTGTACTACCTTTGTGTGGACATCCACCGCTGCGTTTTGGCCCTAGCTCCGTCAAACCGCGCTGCTTTTTGATTCTATTGTGCCCTAAGTGCGGGCATCCTGCGACTGGCCCGCTCTTGGGCAGGGGGCACACTAGCTATGAGAGCTATGGGACGCACCTAGATGGCATCGCGCGTCATTCGATGGGGACAATGGCTTCTCGATGCATAAATTCATGTAATGCACATCTGTGTTGCTTTGATGATGAAAAATCCCAGCCTGATGCTCTGCGAGCACAAGGTGCGCCAGTGATCTACATGGCTAGAGCTGCGCTTGGAACAAATGGTTATCCACCTGCGGCGCCTTGGAAGATCCCTCGTAAAGAAATGGATGTACGTGAGAGTGGTCCTGTGGTGATTTTCGCATGCTTATCGTGGGGGGCGGGGGGTGTTACCACAACCCCAATAGGGACCACAAAATGTGGATATTGGTATGCGTGGCATCAGTTTGACGCTGGTGCACCAAAACCGACGTTGTGCTGCCCGTCAGCATCAAATTGATGCTGAGAGTGGAGGGTTCCAGACCTATGACGCAAAGAAGCCGCAAACTCAGTGAAAGCTGAGGTAAAAAATGCTGCTGATCAGCGGCCAGCATGTCAGAACCTGTTGTCGAACCTCCCTGCAACGTGCAAACTTCAAGGCGTGCCCCCAATGTCTCGATTGACAGCTTCCTTGGCTGCCCCCATTGCCAGCCGGCGCTTCAAGCATCCCATTCTCAGCCCTCCACTCGCTGCGGCGCCGCCTGTTTGCCCTCTTCAAAGCCATTTTGATGTTGCTTCGCGGTATTTGGTACTGTTGCTGAGTCATAGTGGCATCGACTTAATTATGGACGCTGGGTTTAGGATTGTTGCGAGACTGAATGACAACGCGCAAGGCACATTCGTTCCCTTCGAAGAGACCCAGTGGAAGCCTGGCACAAAACAAGGGGCTTACAAATGAGAGACCATAAGGGTCAACGCAGCATGCCTTAGTCAGGATTGGTGGGCGCAACAAGCCTCGCATAGAACAATAATAGCAAAGAACCAAAGTCTGTGCCAAACATTCAGTAAAGGAGGACAAAAGGGACACCAATGAATCTGTCCAAAACCAGGTCACTGCGCCCCATCGCCGATACACGCCAACCGCGTTCACACCAGCAACATTTGCACCATGGGCACTGGCCACCGAAGCCCCAAGGGGCAAAGTGCCCCGCCAGCTGACTGAGGCCAAGGTGGGGCACAACTCCACCCACAGTCCGCCGCACCGAAAATGCACACCAAAATTGAGAGTGCGGTACCTTAGAGAGAGGCCCACGGCGATCTTGCACACCCGTACATACGCAATCGCACTGGAATCGACACGATCCGAACCTATGAGACCAGTCCATACCGGACATATACGGCGCCCGCCCACTCGTTGCCAACCATGCAATCCGGGGTTTGCACGCAGGCCTCGAGGAACTAGGCTCAATGCCCGCCACAACTCCCTTCTCAACATACGCAACACATGCAACCAAAGCGCGAACACACACCGACTGCGCTCCACAACACGCCCCCACGTACCCAGCCCATCTTTGTGCCTCCCCATGGACTTTTACTCCCTCTTGGCGGTGAGCCGGTCCGCCACCCAGGAGGAGATTAAGGAGGGCTACAGGAAAATGGCCTTGATGCACCACCCAGACAGGCAGGACAGCTGGACACGCGGGCAGCCACTTTCCGGCTGTCTGAAAGCAAGGACTGTGGATGGTCGGGGATCCAATGCTGTGCTCGTTTGGGTCTCCGCATGCAGGCCAATGCCGAAAGACTCGCAATATTTTCCTCGCGCGAGAAACACCCCATTCTCTGTGTGTGTGTGTGTGGTGGTGTGTGGGTGGGGTACATGGTCCTGGCTGCTTGCATGCTTCCTTGTTTGGGGCTTCCTTGTAAGGACTGTTTCATGATGATTGAGGGTTGCTGTCTTTTCCAACCAAGTCCATACTTTTGTTGTCGTCGTGGCGAATTTGACGCACGGAGCGCTGGCTTGGCGTTGCGGCACTTCAGGCACGTGGCAGCGAGCGAGAGCGCGCGAGAGAAGGCAGCAGCTCGCTTCAAGGTGCAGAGAATGCTTGGAGGTTGGGTTGCTGGGACCCTGTTCTGTGTGGGAACGAAGAGCCGAGAACGGGCGTTGAGAAAAACTTGTTGTTTGAAGTGCGTGCAGTTGGCTGCGTGCACTGTGCTGCGCCCCGTCGATGCCTTGCCTCGACTCTCTTCTGTCCCAAAATTTCACTGTTTAGTCTTGTAACACCCTTCCCACATCTTCAGCAGGTAATGCTTGTCTCTAAATCTTGACAACCTTCAGGTAAATGATTCTAGCCTGCAATAATGACTTGGCAACAAGGTGCATCCTGCTGTCCATGGCATGTCCCGCTCAGCCAGCAACATATCTACCATTAGCTCTGGGCTTCGGTAGGCAAAACCGAATGCGTCCAAAATATTCAAGCCCCAGCCCCCCCTATAGCTGGTGTAATGCAGATGCCATGTCAACTGGCTGGGTGCATCACCTTGCAACAACACTTGTTGGTAGATTGTACTTCACCTTGTACTTCCTTGCGAGGAGGGACAAGGCCTCCATCTCTGTGGGGGCAAGGGAGGCACCTAGGCTTCAATACGGTTTTGCTACTTTGGAATGAAAATCCACTCATTTGTGTGCAAGCAGTTGAACATCCCAATACTGCATGTTTTTGGCATGATCATGCACGGTGCAATGGCTGGCTGGTGATCAGCAGGGAGACCTATTCAGCTGTTGGTTGAATCCGGACATGACACCCTGGGCTTTGCTCGCATTGCTCATTAAGCTGCCTGATCTCTGTTGTGCTTGCTGCTGGACTCTGCTGTGGTGTCCACAGGCAGTCAGTGAAGCATACAGAGTGCTGAGCAATGGTGAGGGAGCCCATTCTGCTAGAATAGAGTGCCTCTGAAGGTGCTACTCGTGCTTGGGACCCCGTGCAGTGTGACAGTGCGCAGTTTTGCTCATCTGCAGGCCTTGTGCTGTGTATTGCTGTGTGGTTTGCCCAACCTGTTTCTTCAAGCAAGGAGCAGTGGAAGCCATTTTTGTTTGGTCATGTCTGTGTACTCTCTGTTGCCCCCATATTGCCAGTCCAGGACCTGCTGGAAGCTAGTGGTATGGAAGGCAGAATAAGTACAGATGCTGGTGTTAGTCTCACATTGTTTCCTCGTTTTCGTTTGTTTCAAAAACACTGGATCACATTAAAAAGTCAAGGTGCCACCCCACTTGTGCGGGTTGTTGCAAATTCTTCTAATCAGTGTCCACTTTCAAATGTCATTTTGTCGTTTGAGTTGTTGTACTCCTGTGAACCTTGGCTGCTTTACTCGTTTGCCACAGAACCATTATGCTGTGACATGGTGATCTCTGAGGAGCATCAACTGACTGGAAACAAGTGAGACTCCCAGAACATGAAGAAGCATGGCCCTATTGCTGGTTTTGTGTTGTTGGACTATATGCACAAAGGAAGGGTGTATCATTGGTATGCATTTTATGACATTTTGCTGGCTTTGATTGGTATGGCATGTATGTTTCAGAACGTGAGCGTGCAATCTACGATGTGTCTGGCCGCTCGGCTGTTTACCGCTCTCGAACTGGGGAACGAACAAGGGCGAGTGCCAGCTATGCACGCACTGATCAGAAGTGGAGGACCTATTCGCGAGCTGGTTCAGCCAGAGGTGTGGAATTGCACCTGCTGGAAGAGTTTTTGGACCAGTTATAAAAGCACAGACGTTGGGGATGCCTACATCATTGTCTTCAACAGTATACATCAATAACATGAAAACGAAGCAAAAGGAGCCACCCCTCGTATGAGTTCAAGGAAGTGCAACTGTTTACCGGCATTGTCCCCAACATTTGGGCTTATGATCTTGCATTACTGCTGCTCTTTAGCCGATTGTCTGCTGCTCAATATGGCGAAAATTTGCCATATGTTCCTGTGCAGGCCATGAATACACCGTAGTCTTATCGCTGGTGCAGCTATGGCCTAATCACTGATTCTCATTTGTGTTGCACCACCTTTTTTCCCATCGGGTAAAGACTGAGAGTGTGTTTAGCTACCGCCAGCAGGATTTGACAGGCGTCAGTGGTCTGCCTTCCTGCTGAGGGTTGGAACCCAACTGCCATTCCAGGCGCTCATCGCCACAGGCATTCTGCTGGGTGCCCTCACTGTGGGTTCCACTGCTGAAGGCATTTGGAACCACCTGAACCGTGGCAAGCAGTTCGCTGATGTAATCAAGCAAACCAAGAGAGCAACGGAGCCTGAAAGGTTGTCCACAAGGAATACAGGCAGGATGAAGGAGGCCAGTGAGCAGGTGGGACAACCTGATAGCTGAGGACAGTTGCACCCACCCTACCTGCCCATTGACCCACAGGGACACATACATTGGTGGTTCGTGAATCTGTTCGATGGTCCAAGATGCCAAACTGCCAGGGTCGCTCACTGTGGAAGTTGCTGGCCTTCCACTCCAGAGCAGTGTTGCCTCTCATCATGCATTTCCATGCGCTGCATGTAGATGCTGGGATATGCATATGCCAAGTGCTGACAGGCAGGTCTTTCATCTGCTCGACATTGCCTGGTGCACAGTGTGCATCGACACTGTCAAGTGAACTCATGTACGGAATGATCAGCAGCTTTGGTCGTGCTATGAGCCAAAAAATATGGTTCAGATACCCCTGGAAGGGATGGCAGGCCTTGTCTTTCAAATGTCCACTATC